GAACTTTCATTGATTTGTATTTTTCAAGTACTAATTGTTCCAGATCCGTGCGTGCAGAGGTCGAAGGGCACAAGTTAAAGAAGCAAATGTGATTTAGGTGGGGACCTAGGCCACGGGCTTGAGGACATCAAAAGACCTCCATAAAATACATTCACATACCACAAACAGGGTTCCGAGTAATTAACCTCACTCCAGTTGATTCCATAACGTATTTGGAGGAGCTGTGTCATCCCAACGGTTGATAAAAGGCATTGCAAAGGTGGGTGTTTCATTCCACATTTACTTTCTAGCGGAAAAGGTTCGCATAGAAGCAAGAACTGCTTAGTCATATAGTATGCAGCAGATTCTTCCCCACACTCTACTGGCTGCTACTTTGTTCATGGTGCAGATGAGTGGTGTAGGCCATGCTATGGGTACATGTAATTGAGGTCAAATACCTCTGCTGTCCTTAAGGGAGGACCAACTCTATTCACCTGAAGTATTCCTTACTATCGCACTGGAAGCGTTGTAGGATCGAATCATTAGCACCTCGATAAGCAGGCATTGGTGGAAAGTCCACTTATCTGCGAGCAAACAGTCTCACCAGGGCTGCCAAACAGTACGTTGAAGTAAGGATGCTCGAAATGGCCCACTTATTAACCCGTTCAATGCAATCGTCGGAATTATTAGAGATTTTATGAATGCCTTGTAGTAATTCTCGTTTAGCCATTCGCTTAAGTCACCACATCGACTTTCAATTTTTCCCGATTTGGTACAATCCAGTTAATGAAGTAACCTTCGTTTATGCAAAGGGTTATGGTTGGGAATGCTGAACTGGAGGTCAAATGATGGGCGGTGGTATTATTCACTGTTTTATGGGTGCACTTACAAAGGACAGCATTTCCTTTCATGTGGCAATTTGGAAGACCTGCAAGGTATTTGCAGTTGGACACAGTGACTTTGGAATGAGGACCACAAAGAAGTCATATGAATTGGTATCACGGCGAATCAGAAGTATAGTAAATTCCTCTTGCTTTCGTGCCCTAAATTTAACGAGGTCAATAAGTCGTTCTAACGGGCCTTGTACGGATTCCATGAGCAATTTGTGGAATTGTGCAGATGTTATGACGTGCACATTGCGTGAATGAATATCAGAAGTTGCTCTCAGATGAATTGTTGACAGTGATAGCCACGGAAATGATGTCTCCACTTCTGGTCTACATCGGCAAGAAAGGATGTACGAGTACCAATCTGGCCAACTGTCAATGACTGGCATTCCAGAGCACATACATCAATAGCTACATTCACAATCATAGCAGTGAGCTAATCATAGAAACCTCCATTATTCTGGCCATCGCTGTGTCAATAATTGAGTAGGATGCGCGCATTCCTTGTATCAGATAGTCATCGTCTTAATCTAATAACCGAAAAACCAACTTATTGCTATCAAACGGGTGAAATTTGCTTAAGCTAAGCACTGACAGAAGTTTAATTAAACAGGACTTTAA